TTCATATCTCAAAAACTATGAGTCTTAGGTCAACAGGGTTTGTACAGGCGTGTTCTCCGGTTAATTTTACATATAGTACTAGTTTTTCATAAGAATTAAAAATTTTTGATTTTTTTGTTAAAATCGGATATTTCTACCTTTATTTTTGACTTTCTTACTCAATATCTCAAAAACTATGCATCGTAGAGTATTTTAACTAGTTGCATCGTGTTCAGCGTGTAATTTTACGTCTAGAAAGCCATATTTCAAGCGTTTTTACGACTTTTAGGAAATTGACTATTTTTACGATTTTACTACCGCTCACCTTGAAAAACTCAAAAAATTCGTATTTTTTTAAACTTGACCCAATAACGTTTTATGCATTTTTTTGAGTGTTTAAGACCTCTATAAATGTAAAAAACGTTATATGGATGAATTTTAAGGTTAAATTTTTTTTTGATTTTCGTCGAAATTTTGGTCGATTTTTGGCACCCGCAGCGGTCTATTGCCAATAACTCCGGACTTATTGGTAATAACCTCTTATGTTTGGTACCGTTGGAAAGCAAATTTAATTTTCTATCATATAAAAAAAAGGTCAGTGTTCTACGATAAATAGCTATCGAGAAAATTTACAATTGTAATTATTAATAAAAAACGAAAAAATTATAGGTATATTAAAAAAAATTGTTTGCGGTATGCAACTTTTAATACACAAGAGAAAACATTGCCTACTTTTTTTTTTTTAGAGTGGCATACCTTGCAATAAAAGTGTCCTATGACGTTGAAATTAAGTTGGTAACATAACTGTCAAATTCAAACGTCAATTGTCATTCATTATAAAAAGACGTTGCCAACTTATTATCAAAGTCACAGCTCACTTAATCGAAAATGTATTTGAAAGATCAATGTCAAATAAAAGTCAAGTCAAGATTAATCATTTATTGTCTTAAATTACAACATGTTACTACTAAATTTTTATTAATCACTAAACTGTCATCCCCACTTCCCCCAAAATATCCGACAGTCTCTCCAAATGAACATTGACAGATCCAAGGTCACGATCCGCTTGACTCCTATTCAACAACTGGAATGCATTCATATACTCCAATTCGGAAAATTCGGGACCTTTCTCAACAATCCCATTCAAAATTTCCTCAGGAGTTAAGAAAAATAGCTCGAAATAATGCCTCGCATGATCCAACGCCAATTCTCTTGTCATTGTGATATTAGTGAGAGTCTGTTGCAACGCGAAAATATTCCTACACATTCGCTGAATTCCAGCCTCATCAATCGTTTGCAAATACTGCGCCGAACTTATCAAAATCTTCGCAATCAAGTGGCCCAAACCCTCGAAAATATACTGAAAAAAAGCCTCCAATTAAGATTTGTCAACAAGAAATCACCACATAGGATTTAAACTTTTAGGAAAATTACGTTTTTCATGTTGTTTGTAACTAGAATTTTCAGAAGTAGTTTTGTATGCCTAAGGTTGGTTACTCCAGTTGACGTTTTCTGTCAACTTTCATTTAAATTATGCATACAAACTGACAGGTGACTTAACCTAAATTTTGACACTAGTGACGATATCTTTTGTTTGTCATCAGAAACCAACCTAACCAAATTTATGGCAATTCACAAATATCCCTAAATCCTTGTTGATACGACAATATAGTTAATTCCTATGTAGTGCTACAACAAGGAATCTTCTTCTTTCCACAAGTAAACTCACAATTTTTAAACAATACATAGGCGTAGAATTTTTGCCATGAATTATAACTTTGAATTTTTTTAATTTGGTTTCGTTTTATTAAAATTTTTCACGAAAGATGTATGTTACTTGCAATTTTACATTTGTTTTTTGTAGGTTACTCTCAGGTGAAACTTTGAGACAGGATTTTGGGATTATGAGAAATATACATATGTTTGCTCAAAACCCTTTTTTTATATAATAAATGCATTTCCTAATTTAATTACGTCCTAATAAACGTTTCCTTTTTTAATTACAAAACGAGCCGCCACTGGTACGGTGGGCAAAGTAAACAAAATACATGGGATTTTATAGGTTATGTATGCTTCACACAGTCTATATTCGTTTTCATATTAATGTGCATCAAAGTAGTCGTTTTAAGGTAGCAACCATGCAAAAATTCAAACAATCCAAACCTCAATATTCCCTCAAAATTATTTTCTCAAATAAATATGTGTACCCCAGGTAACAAGAAATAAAATCTAGGGAGTTTGTCGCTGTTTATGTGTTGAGGTTGGGTGGTCATATTGTTTGTCACTTGTCTACGATTTAATCCAATTTTGCTCGATTTTAATACAGAATTCATTCTAAATCAAAGTATTTTATAAAAATAGTTGCATAAAGTCCTATTTTAGGCCAAAATGAAGCAATTTGTGCTATTTTCAATCAATTTGACTCAATTTTAAGCCGAAAATCAACCTGAATCAAAGTTTTTCAACAAAATAAATACTCAAATGACAGATTTCTTCCAAATAAAGCAGTACTTCCAATACAATTTTGCTTAATTTTAGTTCTCGAATCATTCTAAATCAATGTACTTTATAAAAATAATTGCTTCAATCCCAATTTTAGGCTAAAATGAAGCAATTTGTGCTATTTTCAATCGATTTGTCGGACACGGAATTTTGGACCATTTGTCATTCGAGTGACATAAAAATGTAAAACGGGCCTTAGGCAACTAACCTCACTTTCGGTTTTTGTAATTTTTATCCTCATAGCTAGAGAAAAAATTACACAAATCAAAATAATTTTTTTAACTTTAAAAACACGTATTGCTGGCATTATTGTTTCGGAAAATCGACACTAAACAACTAAAACTTTCAAATTTTAGTTTCAAACGTCAATCATAATGACAATAAAGCGTGACTTACATTGACATTTTTTGAACTGAATGTCCAAAATTCCGTGTCCGCCAGTGTACAAAAAACCTACAAAGGGTGACTCATAAAACTTTGGCATTTTGATGGAGAACTCATTTTAAGAAAAAATATACATAGTGTCTTTAAACACATTTCCGATCAAAGTGAGCTATGATTATAAAAATTAAGTTGGCAACAGTCAATAATATAGACAAGAGAGATAAATTTGAATTGTCTCATATCTATAAAGTTCATTTAAATTGTATTTTCCCGCTCAAGATTAATTTTTTCTTTAATTTAGCATATAATAATTCAAAAACTAATATTGACACTTAAAATTTTCTTTCAGATTATTGTTCGGCATAAAAATGCGCAACTTTGCCCTAATTTAACCGACCTCGTATCTCTTATTATAATAACTGAGATCCCATCTTGGAGCTCAAAAAACGAACACCCTGTATAAATCGACTGGAAATAAAAACTGAACAGTGTGCAAATCACTAAAGATATTATTTGGTAACAAAACTGTCAAGTTTGATCTTCGAAGATGAATATTTTAATTACTTAAAAAAATAAATAATATTTAATTTTAAATATTTTACCCCTAAACTTTCAAATCGAAAAATGTCAAACTGATAAAACACAACGGTTTGACAATTACTAACTAGTAACCACCTAGTGACATTCAGGTTTGCAACAACGTAAATTTGGTTGGGAAATCCACTGTATCCAATGTTGCCAAATTAAATTTTAATCGAAGTTCTATTTTAGATCTACAACAGATGAGGTGAATTTTTAAAAATTAGGAATAATTATTTTAAACTTTAACTAACTATAATTGAATACAGCGGGAAATTCAACTATGAACAGGCGAATTTTTGAGGTTAGGATCTGCTGTCAAACGCTTAATTGTGACAAATCATGTGGTATAAATCGGTATGTGCAAATAGAAAATCCCTAAAGTGGCTTATGATGTCAAAATCAAGTTGGCAAAATGATAGTTTATTCACTGTTGCCAACTTAATTTCGTCATAGGCCACTCTGATGTGACTTACTTTACACTTCCTGGGATGCAAACTGGAGGTAACCGCCTCGTCGACATTGGCCAAAACGCGACTCAACTCCAAAACCTTCGGATCCGGCTCATGAGTCTCCCGATTCAAGTGCGTTTGAGCCAACAAATAGTGAAAACATTGCACTCTCACTTCCAGATGTAGCAACAAAAGACAGGTATTGGCCAACTCGTCAAACTCCTGCGCTAGACTTGTCAATTGTTGGAGAATAGCCCCCGAGACCGGCGCTATGCCCTCCACATCATTATCGGGTTTAGACGGTGACAGTCCAGTCGGTTCTTGACGGAATTCGCTCGTGTATTGGAACATTCTAACCGAGAACCATTCCATGCTTTCTTGTAATTGGGCCAATTCTTTGAGAAGGGCCATGTCGGAGAGGATTTCGGAGGAGGTGACGCCACCTTCGCCCAAGTTGCTAGCGAGGATTTCGGCCTCGCGACGGTTGCGTTTGCGGACGTCTTCGGGACTCTCCTCTTCGGAGCGCTGGTCGCGGCGAAGGGGGCGTCGGATGCGCTCGCTGCGGGCGTGGTACTCCTGCTGGGCCTTGAGGTTCACCCAGTTGGGCAGGGATCTAAGACAAATCAAAGCGAAATTCAGTTGGCAACAGCGAATAATGGAGACACAACTGATTGGCGTTATTCAATGCTACCAACTTCGTTTCAACGACAAAAACACCAAATTACTAGAATGTCAAGAAAAAACATTTTCTAGTTAGAATGATAAAAAACACGACTTTCTCCTTAGTAAAATTTTAATTGATTATTTTTGAGTGGGATAATCACGTCTTTTTCTTGTATTACATCATTGATTGCGTTTGACCAAAAAATTTTGTTGTCAACATAGGTAGGCAACACATTAAACACAATGAGGGTCTAATGAGAGAAAAATGTTTTTTTTTGGTTTGCTAATCTCTGTGTGTAGTGTTGGGAATTTATTTAATGATGTTAAAAACAACAAATATTCAAACTAAGTAAATTTTAACCTACAAATTCAAATCTAACCTCAATTTAGTGGTGTGAAATAATAAATAGTGTACAGTAAAATGTTTTTGTTGCATTACCACCTACTTACCCCCCCCCNTATAATATAAATGAATAATTTTAATTTTATCAATAAATGTAAACTGTTTTATAAATGAACTTTTATACAGGGTGCGCCAGAACTCGCGCTCCAGAGAACAAATGCCATATAAAGTAAGATACCAGGAACATGGAGAAAATGTTAAAAAAATATATCTATAAAAATTTCGAAGTTATGAGGGTTTAAAATTTGCACTTTGACTCTACTTATTTCTGTTGAAAAAATAATTTTTCAAGTTTTTTTGCTATAGGCTATTAAAAGAGGAAAGAAGGAAGCTGTATCCTAAATTGTAACTCTGTTCAATGTTATTTGTGGCTTTTATTGTCAAAATTTTTGTCCCTTTACTAAATAAGTGTAAAAAAACATATACAAGAGCACAAGAGCATCAAAATCATTAAATAGATATAAAAAAAATGTCAACTGTCAAAAAATAAATGTCAAAATTTTTTTACAGAGACTTTTTAAACATTTTTTTCATGTTCCTGGTATCTTTCCTTACTTGAAAATTTTCTTTGGGGCGCGAGTTCTGGGGCACTCTGTATAACTATAGGAATCGTTTAAAAAAGTATAACTTTCTATGCTATTAATCGTGATGAAAATTCAACTTTCATAATCACTATGCAAAAAACGATATTTCATCATTTAGTTTTGGATTTATAAAAAAAATTAGTAACAAAACTTTATTTTTTTAATCAGTAGACAAATGGACAAATGTTTAAGTTTCTTGAACATCAAAATGTTTAAATTGTTAGAAATTCTGTGCAAAAACTGTACAGTTTGTTGCCTAGCCTGAACCGTAATTTTTTAAAATGAAATAATTATTTCTCTACAAGAAAATTATAAACCTTTGTGGAGTTTCAATATATAATTTTATAAATTTTATTATAGTGAGTGTAAATGCCTCCCCACGTAAAAAACAACAAACCGAAAAATTGTCAACAATTTTAAAAATTCAAATTCGGAAAATACAAAACAAAATATGCAAATATGTAATTTTATTGGGTAGTTTTAAGAGCAGTGGAGTTATACAGGGTGAATATAAACTATGGAACCAAGCGGTTTTATTTTTAATCATTTGCCTCCAGAAAATAATAATATAAATTAAAGTAATATAAAAAATGTGATCGTATTTTCAGAGCGAAATTTTTTGTTTTGAGTTTTTTTGAAAAAATTAAATATAAAGCAGATAGTTGTAATCCTTACGAGTATAGCTTTTATGAGAAAAATGATTTTATAGTGGGTTGCCATTTAAA